CTCTCTGCCGCCATAATAATAATAGAAAAACCTCCAAAACAAGAGTGTTTTTCATACATTGCGCGCGCCATCACCTTCTCTCACGCGCGCCCTCATCATGCACTTGCCTCTTGGGCAAACTCCTCTTTGATCGGATTCGCTACGCACGGCCAGTACGCCTTACAAATGTTTTGTTCAATTCACATTTTATTACTTTATATTTTACATTTTATTGTTATATTTCATACGTTATAATATGTTACAAACTAAAGAAATAATATATAATTCCAAATTATCCATTAACATAATATATAAAGAATATACATATTCTAGAAAAATATCTTATATTTAACATATTTTTAATATCAAGTGAAAATGATCCGAAAATCTTTAACATAAACAATGAAGAGGACTATGTTTGGCTGAGACGGGTTACAGTTTCTATTATATTATTTATATATTTATGTATATATAATTTTCTTATTCGTCGGTCTTGAAACACGATTCTAGATTGAAGATAAAGTCAAGTTAATATTAATGCTAATAAAGTATCTTTATATTAGGAGTGTGATTTAGTGAGGGTTTTGTAAGAGATGGCAGTGTTGTCGAAGACATTCCAATCACAGCTATTATTTCTTAATGGTTTAATATTGTTCCAGGATATTTATTTATTTACTAGCAATAGACGCAGTAAACATCGTGTTTATACCATTTTAAAAACGGAATTTCCTAAAAAGCATTTTCGACATGCGTTGCTTTTGTTTTTTAATCAGAAGTAAACGGTGGCTGGAGGTTATAGAATTCTAATGGAAAATGGTGATGTTGCTCCATCAATTAAGACATGTAAATATTGGTTCTGTCGATTCAAATGTAATGATTTCAATGTTAACTATAAAAACTGGAAAATGCAGATTTGCAATCATTATTGGAAAATCCAGCACAATCCTTCAGAACCTGCCAGAGAATTAAATGTTGATCGTACAACAATTATTAAACGTTTACGTGATATGTTGTTTAAATAAATTAGATTTTTTAGAAAAAAGCCCTCAAAACTAAATCACACCTTTAATAAAACACTGTAAATAATTTATTGTCAAAAATATTATCTCCTCCGCGATTGACACTTGGATCTCCTGAATCAAGGTACCCACATGAAATATTTTTTACTTATTTATGTTCAATACATCTTTATACTGTTTTATTGAAAGCATCGCTTTTCAATTTTGACTTTTAAAGGCTTTTCAGGAGACAATAATATTCCAAATTTTAATTTAATTTGGTATGTTTCAATGCTTTTGTTTACTTTGAATATGAATGTTCGTACCAATGTTGCTACCATGACTTTCAAACATATCATTCCATATTTCATACCTGAAATTTATTAGTTATATAAATTAATTATAATACTTATAATTAGAGCCCGGATTAAGTTCCGAGATCACGTCAACCATAAATCTCTTGACTATATCTCATCCCCCACCGCCATGTTGTGGCGACGTCGCTCATGTAAATTATTTAATATTTATACAATACAATTTCAATATTTTTGACTTCCGTATTCAATATCATTTTGAATTTAGAAATTTTTAATAGTTAAATTCATATTTAGCGTGTCACAAAACTAATACGTATCTAATTTGGCATAAATATGTCCAATATTGCAAATGAAGTTCCTATTCAATATCATATCATCACTTTCGATCATCTGTTTTGTTTCGTCATTTTCAATTCGAGTTTTGTTTCAAAAAAGGTGCAACACTACATCATAGAACATTTCATTACGAGTAAAAAAAAAATTTTTTTGAAATTAGTTGAGGATTGCACTGTCGATATTTTTTTTTCAAAAATGAGCCTTTTTGCCCACTGTGCGTCGGTTGGCGAATAATCCGGGCTTTTCTTATGATACTTTGTAATTTATTCATGCCTACCTATACAATTTCTTGGGCCTTCACTAAAAGGGAGATAACATAACTGGCAATCCTTTATTCTTTCTGGGAGAAATCTATCAGGATCGAACATCATTGGATTTGACCAATATTCTTCGTCCCGTTGTATTTTCAGAATTCCTATAATAATATCTGCACCTTTTGGTAAAACAACCTCTCCTAAAACATACATTTTTATTAAAAAATTATTACAACAAAAATGAAATAATAATAATATTAATTTACAAAAAAAAATTACTTTAAATCAGATAAGGTGCTGCTTTTTAACTTTTTGAATGGTGACAATGATATCGCAAGCCAAATTTCTCCAGCGCGTCAGATTTCCAAAATAATTGATATTAAACGTATATAAATGATTTTTGCGATATTTAATTCTTTGTAAAAAAAAAGGTTAACGTTATTTTAAAATTCTGATCATAAATGTACTGTTCATCCTCTAAGAATTGCATTTTTAGACTTTAATATCTTATACCTTTTAGTTATATTATGAAAAATTAAAATATAAACAAATTAAATTATTTAAAAGGCATAAACCACGCACGCCAATTCTAAATGGCTTAAAAACTATATATATTTTCTTAATCATTTACATTAATAGACGTTTCGGTCCTAAATTGGACCTTCTTCAGTATTACAATTAGATTAAACAATAGAAAGATACAAAATTTTTTTCCAAGATACATATACTGAGATAAAAAGTATAATATGATTCAATATGATTTATTATGTACTTAAAATTACTAACAAATTCGGTCGTTATTCATCTTCGTTCAAACATAATAGCGTTTATGAGCAACATATCATAAACGCTATTATGTTTGAACGAAGATGAATAACGACCGAATTTGTTAGTAATTTTAAGTACATAATAAATCATATTGAATCATATTATACTTTTTATCTCAGTATATGTATCTTGGAAAAAAATTTTGTATCTTTCTATTGTTTAATCTAATTGTAATACTGAAGAAGGTCCAATTTAGGACCGAAACGTCTATTAATGTAAATGATTAAGAAAATATATATAGTTTTTAAGCCATTTAGAATTGGCGTGCGTGGTTTATGCCTTTTAAATAATTTAATTTGTTTATATTCTCACCACGTTATTGACCTCATATTATTAATTAAAATATAGATCAGTTTTTCTAAGACAACAAATTTTCTGCCTATGATTATGCCTTAAGACAGCAATATTTCTGCTCTCTTGCTGCGTTTGCGCGACTCTCGCCTCGTCTCTCGTGTCTTTTAAGATTCGGCTTGTTTTCTTTCCTCTCGAAGATATTCCGAGGGGTTTCGTGTGAGTATTTGCATATCAACTTATTTATTCGTAGATATTCACCCAGCGAACTTGCCGGCTTTGCTATACAGACCGGCGCGTCCGTCCATCCGCCCCATAGACATATATATAAGATAGATCCAACATCCATATACTTTTCTATAGTATATGCTAGATTTGGTTGAACGGTGCAAGAGGCAAAAGGCCTGTTCTTTTTGGCTGAACTTTTCTCTCTCTCTCTCTCTCTCTCTCTCTCTCTCTCTCTCTCTCTCTCTCTCTCTCTCCAGCAGGAAAGAAGAGGAAGTTAGATGAATTGGTGCAAAAGTTCAACCAAAAAGAACAGGCCTAAAATATCGGGACAAGCTATCCTTTTTGCGCGCGCATCTTGACATTTATAGACGGATTGCATCATACTTATGCAGCAATGCTTGAAAATTTCTCTTGATTTATGTAATAAATTATTTAGTTTTTTATTTTGTTAATTTAATTGTTCAGTTAAGAAGTTTTATTAGTTGACAGTATTGTAATAATTTTAAATATCTCTTTATATACTGATTGTATTCTTTTTCTTTTTCTTTTATTATTTTGACTGTTTGTAATAGTTTTTATAATTTTAATTTCCGTACATTATTATTGCGTTCTCATTGGTTTATCTTAACAATAATTTACATGTGACTTGTTCTTGCAAATTATTCTTGCATTATTACAAATTTGCCTTAATGTTTTTACTGTTGATCTCTTACATTGAGTTTAATTTTAATTTATATCTGTGTGACACGTCGCTCTCGGACGTGGGTTTAAAAATGCGTAATCTTATTTAATTATAATATACCTACTATTTAAGATTTAATATGTTTAAAGCTTCACGATTCTTTTCATGTTCCGTGATGGTAAGTCATTCAAATTCATTTTACTCATTTATCTGTCTAATGAGACTTTTTCTATAAATGTTAGATTATCAACGTTGCATTTTTGTCAATTTGTGAATGACTTAAGCATTGCGGACATGTGAGCTAATTGGAATTGTATCATTCTTGCTGAGGAGGACTCCGAAGAGAGTCGAAACGTTCAAATAAAGAAGACATCAATCTATTCTTTGATTGTTCACTATAATATTTGCGCTGTTTATCATCGTTGACTCTCATTAGCCTACTATATTTTTTGTTTGTTATATTGTTTAGTATTCGGGAGTCCTAATGTTATTATTATTGTTTTTGAATAAATGGATATTTGTTTTTATGATAAACTGTGTTTTTATTTCTCCTTCTACATATTTGAAATAATTTACTACATATTATAATAAAAAACTGCTTCTCAAATGTTTTAAAATAATTTCATTCTTGAGTCACTTTTGACCCTGAGTCCGCCGTGCGTGCGAGTATCACGACGTCTGCCGTCCGAAAGTTAATATTTACCTACGCAATGTTAACGAGTCATTATATCCATCCACAGAGTTATTACAATTTGCCAATGATATCGTTATCTTTGCCCACTGATAAACATATAGAACAGACATTTGATTGCGTTGAACAATCCTTTCATAATTTTGAAACATTTCTTAGTTCTCGTGGGTTGGAGATTTCTCCGCTCAAAAAACAAATAATGGTTTTTTTTCTACTAAAAGGACCACCTTTCTGTCTATTCGTCACATTTCCTATGAGAATCACTATATCCTACTATCCGCTTCCGTTAGATTCCTTGACATTCTGCTCAATCCTAAGCTTTCCAGAAAGACTCACATGCACTACATCATAAATGTATCCTCCAAGTCATCTCGGCCTTTCGCGGTACCTGGTGGCCCATCCCTATATGCTACTTACTGTTTATAAATCTTTGCTGTGTGATTTCATTGAATACTTCTCCCATATCTTTGGTCTCATCGATAATGGCTGTCTCGATAAGGGCTCTCCCGATCATTCAGAATCAAGCTCTGCGCTTGTGCTTCGGATATCGTGTTTCGATCCCCTCTTAACATAATTTACGCTGAAGCCATTGAGCCTCCACTCAGATACAGATTTCGACATCATGCTTCGCGTTATTTTCTTAAGATCTATTACCGATCACCCGGCAGTTTCCAAACTCTGTAAGTTATGCGATCTCTCTAGAAGTACCCATAGTCATATATATATATATATATATGTATATATATAAAACTATGGATACTTCTAGAGAGATCGCATATATACTCCGTATTATACTCCGTATATATACTCAGTATCTTATTTTGATTGCTCATTTTGAGTATCACGAAGAAAGCATATTTCCAACAAAAAATGTTTCAGATATAAGTTATGGTCTATGCATGTTTATATTGTATTGTACTAGAAATTATATTTATATATAACTATAAATTGTTCACCTGTGTGATCATAAAGTTTTATGATCACACAGGTGAAAAATTTACTATCGTGGAAAAACTATATTTAAATTCTACATAACTATAAAATATTGAAATTTGAAAAAATTTATTTTATAAAGGGTGAAAAACACATTTGTAATTTCTGATCAAAATTTTAGGTAATTATAATATTTACTTTAACGATGAAAAAAAAGCGAACAAACCTATTTTTAAATCTTTCGTTACTCGTCGTCCAATTAAAGGAGCAGGAGGGAAAATTCTCAATGTTTCCTTGATAACTCGGTCCAAATAATGCATATGTTGCAAATCGTCGTATTTAATTGGTGCAAATTTTATAGTTTTCGTGCCATAAATTTCCAATAGTTCTTGATATACTTTTTCCTTTTATGACGTTAAATAAAGTATTCATATTTTTATATACATGTAAAATATAAATACATGTTAAAAAAGTTTCAGATTTTTTATCAATTATAATTTAAATTTGACTTTCCTTTAGTTATAATTGAAGCGTTAATAATGATATATAATGTCAATCTAGAAATTTGTATCATTCTATTAAAATTTAATCTAAATAAAATATTGCATATGTTATGACATGTACTTCAAAGAACTTTTAACATCTCCGTATAAAACTATCAATAATACATTAATTAACCTATTATAAGCTTAGGTATTGTGAAAAATGTTAATATAAATCAAATTTAACAAAAAGATATGAAAATAATAAGTATTTAATACATGATACTCGCTATGATTGTTTGAAATCACTGCTTATAGATAAAACGGTTTTTTCGTTATATCTCAAAACTATATCTTATATTTTAAGAATTATTCAAGGCACCAAAAAATGTTTTATATAAAAATTTTATAACAGCAATACCTCTATTTCTTTGCGTTAATAATACTTCTTAAAAATAACTTTTTTTAAATAATTTTTTTTTATTTTTGAAATAATTTCCTTCGACGGTTAATGCATTCATATTATTATAGTAGCACTTATAAATATTTTAACATTAATATTTTTGTCGCATCTTAATTATACAAAAATATTAATGTCAAAATATTTATAAGCGCTATTGTATAAATGGCTTAATTAAATGGCTCGAATAAAATCGATGAATTTCAAATACTCGACTCTAAACAGAGAAACGATTGTTAAAACGAAGGAGAAAAAATATAACGATTTAATTTTACCACATTCTTAATCGTTACCCTGTATAATAGTTTGATTCAAACAAATCAAAACAATAAATGTTTAAAATTATTGATATATAATGTGTGATATAATATAATTTATTATTTTTATTATTACAATAAATGATTACCTTTTAAATTTTTTAATTTTTAAATTATAAATTTTTTTATTTTTAAATTATATTATTTACACTTCAATTATTCAACTAGTAAATTTAATTATTTTAAAATATATACATCAAGAATAGATTTTCGAAATGCATTTTATCCAAAATATCATTTTTTGAGTTACAAATGGTGTAGTCTTCAATCTCAATCCTCAGCAACTCGCGGCCTCGCGTAAAAGTAATGTCATTGCGCTTGGCTTAGCACCGAGACACTACCGTATCTCCTGATAATGAAAGACATATATTATGCTACTTCGAAATGTTCAAAAAGCATTTTTTCATCGTCAATTTATGTACTGAAAAAATGTAGACATTTGATGTGCGTTATTTCCTTTAATTAGAGAAAAAAAAACGCATTTGTTTAATATTATTAGAAATTGTTTAGCAATTTTGTTTAACATTTTACATATCACTGATTGATAAATTGTTATATTCTGTAAGGCGTGCAGTTTCTTTGTGGATTTTTTCTTGTTTTTTGAAAATTATATATTTTGAACAAAATACATTTTGAAAGTCTGTTCCTCATATGCGTATATATAAATATATATATATATATATATACATACTTGTACGTCTGGAAAATTTGCTAACATGAAAATAACAAAATTCATCGTAATAGAGATTGAGTCACTGGCCTGCGTATATAATTTTATTTTAATACTTATTCATAATTATAATTAATTATATACCGATGTACGTACCGTTAATAACATTGTCATTACGTTATTGTGAATCTCCTGTTGCGTGAAATTTTGTTTACGACATGCATCCATCTGAATGTCGAAAAACGTTCTATCTACATTATATAATAAAGTATATATGAATTAAAAGATTAATTAATCATTTAATATTGTACTGACAAATTTTAACTTAAAAACCCTTAACTTTATGCCCTTTATATAAAACTTAAAAGTAAACGCGAGTAGAAATTGTTTTTTAAAAGTAAAACGAACATGGTATTGTAATGATTGCTGTTGATTTAGTGACACAATTCGAGAAAAACATTATTTCATTTTCTTTGATATTTAATGAATAATAAAGATATATTTGTGTCAACCTGTATCATCATATGGAAAGCATCGAAAACTACTTCGACTATAGCTATAACAATTTTACATTGCGTTTTCAATTTTCGTAAAGGTAAGATTTTACAAAATGTAGATAAACTTACAAGTTCGGTTTTTCTCATTTTTGATTGTATTCACGTTTTTTAATTCATCTATGCGTTGCTGTATCATCTGTATAAAAATAGATTACGTAGTGAACATCAAATTGAATAATGCAGAATATCAGTACCAAACATATTTATCATACATATACCTCATCAACAACAGAATGTAATAAATTTAAAGTCTTTTTCTGTTTGCGTCCCAAAGGAGTGAGATTGAATATAAAATCAAAATAATATATATGTGCATTCATTATTCTATAAGAACCCATATTTTTTAACCTGAAACATTTTTTTCGTTTTAAAATAAAAATTTTCATATATGTATAAGATATACATAACTATAAAAGCATATTTAATCAATTGCAACTATTAAATGTTACAATATAAGAAAGAAGAAGATATTGTTTGTTCAGTAAAAAAAAAGTAAGGTAAATATGCAGATTAGGGGAGCCCCCCCCCC